CTATTTTATACTCCTTGAGAAGAAAATAATATGTTACCAAAAATTTTTCAGCATAAGATAATTTGCAATCTATTGCTGTAATATAGTTTATAACTCAAAATGTTTAACATAAGGTATTTTACAATTTATTACTGAATGGAAAAGCGTTAAACTGAAAATATTTTTTTGTTAAGCCAATTTACAATATTTTGCTTTAAATTTTTCAATTGCTTTAAATTTTTCTATTGTTAAAGAATATTTTGTAATTCAAATATTTGATAATTCCTTCAGAAAATGCTTCTAAATGAAAAAGAAAGCATTTTTTTCTACAGAAAACGATTTNAAACAAATAACAACAACTACTAATAACAATAACTAAATGAACAACAACTAAATTCCATTCGTTTAGCATTGCGTCATATGTTGTTCCTACTAAATCGAAGTAGTTGTGTTTTTTTCATATTATACCCAATTTACAATATTTTGTTTTAAATTTTTTTTATGCAAAATTTTATTTAACAAGAATATTTTCAATCTATTGTTAAAGAATATTTTGTAATTCAAATATTTGGTAATTCCTTCAAAAAATGCTTCTAAATGAAAAGTAAAGCATTTTTTTTCTACAGAAAACGATTTTTTTTTTTTAAAAAAAGGAGAAAAACGATTTTTAAAAATTTTTTTCTGGAGAAAACGATTTTAAAAAATCAGCAGTTTTTAGTATATTTACTTTTAATACGCAATTCTGCAACTTTTCTATCACGTAATCAATTAATAATTCTTAAAATGTGAAAAACTTTTTAAGAATTAAACTATTTTGATAGCACATTGTACGAAATTGGAATATCTGTTCAACAGATAAAGTTAAAAAATATTAAAATAATAGTCATTAATTGTAAGTGACAAAATGAATAATTCATCAGAAAGAAAAAAAATTACCGGTTACAATAAAGGTCATAAATAATATTTTCCCCCTTTTTATTCTTTATATCGAAAACAAAGACATATACTGCAGTTTTGCAACAAAATTAAGTGTTGCAGACGTTTTTTTTTTTATTTACAATGGAGTCATTATTCTAACAAAGTCATTTGAAATGCAAACTACTGCTAATCTTTTACCTCAGCTGGTTCAACTGAATCAACATTATTTACGAACGAAAAATCAAGAAAACTCTTCCCATGTGATCAAATAAGCAATTAGGAGTAGTATTGTGGTAAGGAGTGTTACAATGTTACGGGACATTTCGCGATTCATAAAAGTTGCAATCAAACTTGTTGTGTCTGGTGATTTAATACTTTTCTTGCAAATCAAGTTTTGGGGCCCGTTTAAAAAGTGCACGCACAGAAATTTATTAGAAAGATTCAAAATGTTTATTAGGAATACCTCATAATTTTAGTTTTTCAATAGGCTAAGGAACATAATATTTTGCTTATACTGCTTTTTTGTTCTATAATAGGGGTCTGATTTGCTTGTGAATTTTTCGAAATGAGAATTTAATAATTAAAATTGGTTTATTTAATTCACTAAGTAGTTTCTACGCTATTTTAATAGCTAAATGTACTAAAAGGATTATATATACATTGTGCTACGTAGACTAAAGTAAATATAGCACAAATAAAATTTGTCCATATCTGTATTTTATTAATGCTTTATTCACGTGTAGCCAAATGTTCTACGAAAAAAATTCAAAAAAATTAAATTCCTCCGGAACTGCTGGACCGATTTCTCTCAATTTTTGTATTTTGCCATGTAAAATTACTTTTTTTAAAATGATGCAGGAAATGGTATACCTTACAATTTAAAATTTTTCGACTAAGTTATAATTAAATTAATGAAAAATAATAAATATTTACTAAAAATTATTTTTTGCATTATTATTTTGTTTTGTTTTTGCATCTTTTGATAAACAAATTTTATAACTGGGTGAAATTTTTCAATTCGCTTAAAAATTTCTCGAGATATGGCAAAATACGCAAAAAAATAACAATTAATATTAAGGGATCCGAACTGTAGACCGCTATGTTGACCAACCTATTGAGACTATATTTCCCAGATTACGGCTGGCCATTATAGTTTAGAAGTCAGAAATTCAAATTTTTCGGGGGGGAAAGGGATTTTATACAGATAAAATACGTTTTTGTGTCCGATTTCTTATTTTAAAATATCGTTTGCTAGTATCGAACAAGTAAGATTGATTCTCAGAACGTGAGGATTCGATCATTAGATCAAAAGTTATTCAAGGTAGTACGTTTATTTTATTTATTTATTTATTTTGCAGCCCTGTACATTAAGATGTTACTTACCAAAGCAAAATTGACTTAACTTTTTTTGCGCGTGTAATATAATTGTTTTAGTAAAACTCTCGATTTACACTGAAAGGATTTGGGGCCTTGTTGGCTCACGGTATATAGCACTCGCCTCTCAATGAGATGACCAGGGGAAAATTCCAAGTCATGGCTGGTCGATTCAAATTCCATATTTGGCTCGCAGTGACCATGGTGCTAACGCAAAAGATCCTCAGTGGTAGACGGATCATGAGTTATAGGGTCCCTCTGCCGTCAAGTTAACCATGGGAGGTTTTCATGATTTTCCTCTCCATGTTACACAAATGCAGGTAAGTTCTATCAAAAAGTCCTCCACGAAGGAAAATTACCCAATACTTGATCCAGGAGCTCCCTTGTCTTCTGGATTGGGTTCAAAATTGCAAGGCTACGGAGTTGAATATCGGTAGTCATAAACCCAAAGTTGGATCGGCTGTTCAACGACAGTAATAAAATTAAATTAAATTAAAGGATTTGAGACAAGAAAGTGACAAATCACAGTTGTAAAGTTGATATTAGATTGTTTTTGTATAGCATTTCGGCTTCCCATAACTCTAACACCAACACTATTTAAGCTTAACAGCGCAAGCGCGAAAACTTCAAATGGGGTAGAAAATAAGAGTAGCATTATGGTTATACGATATGCAAAATCTCTCTATTGTTTCTGGATACGTTCATTTAGAAGCATTGTTATCTTAAACAATTTATTGAAACAATGACGTTTTCCTCCGAGATCACTCTAATGATCAATGATAAAATGTGTCTTATCATTATATAGCCCCAAACCTCTTATTCTCATTCAACGTGAAAATATTCGAGTGATTATTAAAGTGATTTTAGACGGTTGTAAAGATATTTTTTTTATCAAAAATTTATTTTAAATGCAATAATAATGCAACGAAAGCACAAATGGTATGTATCTGAAATAAAAAGACATAACTTGAACCATTTTATGAATAACGAACCTTTCATGCTTTCCAACAAACAGAAAAGGGAACTCATATTATCTTGCGTAGAATTATAGGAATGTAATTTCCTTATTTTTTTATTTTTCCTTATTAGTTTTTAAATATTTTATTTTGAGACTAATTAATGTTTTTAAATTTATCTTTCGTTTTATTCATTGAATGTGCGATAGATTAAACCTAGTTTCCAATTTTGAAATTTTAAGGATTGTATGTTTTTTTTTTTGTTTTTTTTAACGGAACTTGTTTTGAAGATAACTAGGACTTCAAAAGTGTAAAATTCGCTTACTAAGACTCATATATTTTAATAAACAAAATTTAACAAAAATGTCCTTAAATATAAAATTAAATACGCAATAAGAAAGAGAATTTTCGTTCTTAGCAAGGAGACATCGTTAGACAAGAAATAGGACTGTTATTGAAACTAGCAACGATCTTCGTTATGAAGATAGAAATACAATATACAATTAAAATAGAAATTTTTTTGATATTGTAATTGTTGTTAATTGATTGTGATTTTCTGACAATAATTATTCTTAAGGCATTTATATTTATCATTATTTGTCAAATGAGAAAAGGAAACGTGTAACATTATTTCTGAAAATTGATGACAGGAAAAAAAGATAGTAAAAAGAGAAAGATGGATAAGTGCATTTTCATACCGCTTTTTTTTAACGAAAATAATGATTCTAAAAAGTTTTAAGAAGATCTAAAAAATTAAATGAGAACATAAGGAATATAATAAATAAGAGCATAATAAGCATACGAATAAGAAAAAAATATACAATGCTATTAAAGAACGCAAATAATATACTAAATATCACATGGAAAGAACATCGTTAAAAAACGATTTCTTAACTTTTAAATGATATACAATATGAATATGATAAAAATTTAAAAGACATTGTTTTTAATTGTTTTAACAATTTTTAAAAAAAAATTTGAAATTTTATTTTATTTTTTTTTTGAAATTTTTAAATTAATTTTGGTTTGGGAATTATTCATAGTCCAGAAGTTATTTTATCCTAAAACACTTTTCGTTAATTCCTTAAATTTAACATATACATTATAATTATCATCTTTATTCAATAACTAATTACTGTAATAAAAAATTTACTAAAGATCTGGATCCTTATTTCCAACTAATACTAAGTGTTAGAGAAAAGATAATAATAAAAAATAAGGTGGTTACAGTATTCTCTAGAAAAATAACATTTTTCACGTTTATTTTTTTTAAAAAAATCTCTTAATTCAAAGCTTAATAGTTAAACATTTTAATTACTTTATTTCTCCTTATGATCTGTATCATTTATTAATATAAAACGATATCTAGTAGATTTATTAACAAAAATAACAAAATCATTTAGAACAATAAATACTTTAATTAAAGCAGCTCTTCATTATTAATAGTTTAATTAGAAATAAAAAGAAAATTCTAACCTAATGTTAATTAACAACATTAAACTCAACTTTAAATATAAAATCTCAGTAAAAAAATTAAAAAATATTTGTTTCCAAAATTATTTTTTATGAAATATAACAATCAAAATTATTTTTATTTTAAATTATTTCAACTTTAATTAAAAATTCAATTCTAAATTCTGGATAAAGGAATTGTCACTAGCTAGAATGTCATCGCGTCAAAACACGTCGCACCGGAAGATAAACCGCAACACCATTATACCTTATTATTGCGTCATTATTGTTACACATGTAAATGATACGCACATTACTTACCACCAAAGACCGGTGACATGGAGCATGTATATCATGCATAGCAAGACGCATAGCATCCGCCGGCAGTCCATGGGGAAGACTCCGCTTTGAGTAACGTCTTCGCCTCTTTCTTTTGGATCACGGCCGCTTGCCTCATCCAAAACATCGGTGGGAGGAGAGAGAGGCATCACTTGTTTATAGGGAGCATCCACAAATTGCAAATTGTAGTATGTAGGTTTTTGTTGGAAAGCGTGAAAAGTTAAGTATCAAAATTAGAGCAGTTTACTAATTAGAGGTGGGGAAATATTTAATGAAATATTAATGTTATTTTGATGTGATAAAAATGTTTTTAAAAAAAGTATTTTTACAATATATCGTGAATACAATGTCTCGCAATAAATAACAAATACTATAATATATCGTGAATATTGCTGATAACTTTAATTTTTGTTACATTGCGATCATTATTGTCTGAGAATTGAATGCGATAATATTGCGAGTATTATCAATTATGACAATATTGGGAATATTATCTATAACTATACTGATTGTGCGCAATAATATCATGATCATTATTGACTATTCTTGTTTACAGTTTTTTCATTTAAAAAATTGTGAAAAGTTTATCATCAAAAGTATACTAATGAGTAGTAATGAGTAGTATACTAATTGGAGGTTTAAATATACCGTGATATTAATATTATTTCGACGTGATAACAATATTTTAAGAAATATTTTTACAATATATCATGATTACTATGTTTTACCATAAATATCGAATAAGAATATTTTATTTAATTTTATAACCGTCGTTGAACAGCCAACCCAATTTTGGGTTTACGACTACTAATGTTCAACTCCGTGGCCTTGTAATTTTGAGCCCAATCCAGAAGACAAGGAAACGCTTAGATCAGTACCCCCAGAGGCATGATTTGTCATGGGAGCATGGAGGACTTAGTGACTCAACAGATCTAACTTGCATCAGTCACCATTTACTGCACGGGGAGTCTTCGGCTGGCGGGTATTGAGCCCACGACCTCTTGGACATGGGCCCAGTGCCCTACCAACCAGGCTATCCCGGCCTTCGAATATGAATTTGCAATATTTTACCAAAAAAAAAAAGTTCATAATCATTATTGACAACGATATATATTGAATACGATAAAATTTCACGCATTATCGATAGCTATAATTATTTAATACTACAATATCGTAATTATTATAGATTGAGATTAGTATTGAGTGCGATAAGATTGCGTGTATCTAATGTGATATTATCAAGATCATTATCGACGTCGATATATTTTGAATACTGTAGTATTACGAGTATTACAGATAAGTATAATCATCGACTGCGATAACATCCCGATTTTTATAAAAATGGTTATTATTGAATGCAAACATTTTGCGAGTATAAATATTGTCAATGATAATTCTGAGACCTTTATCAATAACTATAGTTATTGATTACGATATTTTCACGATCTACACTTTCTTGATTACAATCAACTCTCAAACATAATATTATCGTGACTGTTACTGTGTCAATTAGTCTAATAAGGTGACAAAAACACTGCATCGATATTTCTTGGCGATATATCGCGATATTAGATTCTGATACTCAACAGACAAGAATTGATATGATAAAGTGGCAAAAAATCAAATTAGTAAGGGGGATTGATATTCATTGATCAAAGACTAATAACCTCATTCAGATATTAAAATGCTTATTAAGCATTTTTTTAGACATGTGACAATAGATTTCACATTGTGTCATTAAGTATTATTCGAGTTATGAGAATGAGAAGCGTGCTTAAAATAACTCTTCGACACTCCGTGTATCCTCTATTCCATACTCTATTCCCTAAAGGTGTTCCGTGGAACCGTAGGGTTCCGAAGGAAAGTAACAAGGGTTCCGAGGGTTAAGCTTTCTTTTTACCAGCAAAATGATTGTTAAAATTTGTAACTTTAATTGTATCCCACAAAAAATCCGTAATCTATTTAATATTTCGTTTCGTTTAATGAAATGCTTTATATAAAATAACAATGAAAAAATTATAGCAAAATTTTAAAAATATAGATATATTTCCTATAAAAAACGATATATTGAGTAAATTTCTAAAAAGATAACCATTTACAAGGAATGCATAAGTATTTGTCATTATACATTTCAATTCAAAAAATTAATTCAAGAAAAAGGAATACAATCGTTCATTTTTGAAAACAATAATTCACCTTATTCCAGTTAATTTCAAAGACTAAACTAGAAGCAGCTCCAATCCTGGGAATTCAATGTCCTGATATTTAATCTAGTTCTAAGACTATTATTCGTAAAACAATAAAAGAATTATCCTTTTCATTAAAATTATCCAAACTAATTTGTAGTCTTTCTTTTATTAATATTTGAATTTTTGACCCTCAATATATATATGGAAGGGAAGCTTCTGTCAAGAAAATATGGTTTTAATAGTTTAGTCAGAACAGTGGTTGTTTTCGGAACACTTTTCCAAACACCACACCAAATTCGGAACACCTTTAATGTTAATTACGCTTTTGCTTGTTTTAAGCTATGTTTGCTATAATTGTTTAAGCTATAATTGTAAATCCTATTTATAACACTTTTGAATTGAACCCTTTCAGAAGGAGTACTTTTATATCAAGCAAGTATTGTTATTATGCAATATCGTTTAATTTTTTAATTTTTTTAATTAACTAAATCATTGGGAGCATTGAGATAAAATTAATGGAAATGCATGTTAGCATAAACTCCTTAACTGTCTTCCCATGTTTAAAAAAAAAAGCATAAACGCTGCCCCTGTTTTGGATGTTCAACTTAGTTATTTTGTTTTGTGGCTCAAAGATTATTAGACTTGAAATTATGCAAATGCTTTGAAAATGTACAACAAGTACGATGAAGTAAAAAGAATTTAACATTTGATAACTACTGCAAAAATTATTAACTGTTTAACTTGTAGCAAAAACTAGCATGCAGGCAGCTCTACAAACCACAAAAATACAGCTAAAAGGCTGAAATTTTACTTACTAGAAAAAAACATTTGTTTATAAAATCAATTTTTTTTCCTTCAAATTTCTCATTTGTTGAAAGTAATTGCAATTTCAAGTGTTTTTTTTCTTTTTTTTTTAGTTTTTTTTTTGGGGGGGGATTTTTTGTCTCTTTCTTTTTCGCGTTACATTTTGTTTCGCTGTTCAAAAACTTTAAAAAAAAAAAGAAAAAAATAAAAAAAAAACTCCAATGGGATGTAGAAAAATGTGGCAGAGAGTGGGACGGAGTAAACGAAGTTAAAATTCGATAATTACTCAAAGAAATGTTAACTGTTATACTTTTAGTAAAATATGCCATTAAAGTTTATCTTCTGCTCGCTCAGTTGGAGCTACGGATTTTAAATTGAACATACTTAAAGAGCGATATTTGTTAACTATATACGAGTTTTTTCTTTTTTTTCTTTCTCGAAATTCTAATTCATTCTGAAGTTATTGGAATTTCAAGTGCTTTTTTCGTGATGTTCTGCTTAATTATTTTGGATTAATCATTTACTGTTGCAGAAAATTTTATTTTTCGCACTAGAAATCTTTAATTTATAAGTTCACATTTCAATTGATACCAAAGATGTAACAAAAAGAAGAAGAAAAGAAGAAATTCGATGTTGCCATATATAAATATTAACATTTATCCTAAATTTCTTAAAAATAAAAACCTTAATGCAAGAAAAAAAACAGTTCCATATTTGAACTGTCATTTATAGGTCTCGTTAACGAGTAAAATTCCTTCACATTTATTTCTTCTTGTGACGCAGGTCATTTTTGACTAATGGTTATTTTTCCAGGTAATCGTTCCAGATAATTGTTCAGTTTGTTATGATTAACGTATTGACCTTACATAAAACTGCAATAATTGTCTACTTCGCTAACAAAATGTGCTTTTTTTTTGGGGGGGGGTGGAAGGGATTTAAATTTTTTAAAAATTATGAATGGGGAAGCAAAGACGGGGTTGGGTGCCTCCTGCTAATGTAAAAAAATTCTAAATAATGAAAAAAAATATTATCGGTTCAAAATTTTTATTCACTCATTTAAAAGAAAACTTTAAGTTGGTACAGATTGGTTTTATGTTTTAATGAAAAATATTTGCCGTTGAATTATTGGTGATAGTGTTTCAAATAATTTCAAAACTTGTCATTTTGATAGAGAGTTAACAGTTATATAAGTATTTTTGTTTTATATCCCTCTGGAAAGAGCTTTTCCAATGCATGGGTGAACATTATAAATTTATGTAAATATAAGTCAAATAATATTTTTATAAAAATATTTCGATTGTCTATATAAAAATATAATTGAATCGGAGATGGAGTAATCCTGGTAGGGATTTGTCGCTGGTCGAGGTTTTTAATTGCAGTGAATAATTATAAGAAAAGTCAGAAATATAATTGAAATATCCTTTTAGTCGGTTTTATGCCTATAGATATCTTGTTGAGCTGTGTGGATGTTGCTTCGTATTCCTTTAAAATCATTTAAAGTTTCATTTATGTTGCTGTTCCTACATTGGTTTAAGTTATCTGAACAGTTTCAACATTTTTTTTAAATATTTGCATGAAATTCTTAAAAAAAGCTAGTTTATTAGTTTTATTATGAGTAAAAGCTTATAAAACTTAGGGAAATAATTATTATTTTCATAATTATAATTTTAAATGGCCATTTTTAGGTAAAAAATAAGGTTATTTTTAGGAATTTCCGCACTTGTCTTTGCGAAAAAACTCGCACAGAAAGTGAAACTCCACTTTTTCTCTTATTCTGTAGTTCAAAACGTGTGCTATAATCAGAAGCACTCCTGAAAAATTGAAGACAATTATTTTAAGAACAATATGAGATATTGTGTTTAAAGTAGTGTAAAATGTAAAAAAATATCTGATTTTAAGATAAACGCATTTAAAAACTTATAATCATTAGTCTATTCATTGTTATCACCTTCCACAAAAACTGCTATAACTATCTAAATAATTGGAGTACAAACAAAATTAAAAGTATTTTTGGAAATCTAAGAGTAGAGAGATTCTAAATTCATAATAAACTGAATTTCAAACATTTTGTCCAAAATCATGTTTTTACACTTTTCTTACCTAAATAATATCAAAATTCCAAATTGGTGGAGCAT